AGAAATAATAGTCCTTTCCTTTAAAGACTGCAAAATTCAATGAAGGTGGTAAACTTGCCCCAGAGAAAAAGGCTCTGCAGACACCCAGACGCTCACAGTGCGAGCTTGCCCAGCATCCCCGTGAGGAAGGTCCTGGATCTTGCCCGTGGCACGTGACGGTGCCCCGGCTGAGGCAGCCTCCCTGACACGTCCCAGCCCGTTACTGTTTTGCTCTCTTCACCACAAGTGCCGCTGCCTGAAATGGGCTTATTAACTTAGCAGTTTCTGACATAAGTGGCTCTTCGTAAATACTAGTCAAAGAAAGGAGGTGGGCAGCGATGGCCACCCTGCCTCCCACTCACTGAGACAGTGAGGGTGAACTTAGGGCAGATGCCACCAATTGTACATCAACCTTAGAAAGGAGACACCATCAGCCGGCGTTTATTTAGGGGAAAAATGCGTCTTTCTCTCTCTACTCTTCAACTCTGATTGTTAAACTTCTCTCAGCTATTCCGCCCACCCCTCTCTCCTGATTAGTTCTGCATCCGCTGACCATACCTGCCGCAAGCTTTTGTCTTCTCTCAGGCTGGTCCTCTCTGCTTTCCTGCTTGTTTTCCGCTTGCACTCTTGAGAGACTCACCCAAATAAATTGAAACTAACAATTTCCAAGGTAAAGAGGAAACTCTATCTTGTATCAATGACACACCCTGCCCCAAGTGTAAAGGGAGGTGAAATTTTTGTAGAGTTTTATTTACTTATTTATTGTAACACCGCACCTCACTATGCAGTTCAGGCTGGCCTTGAACCCACTATGGAACCCAGGCTGGCCTCAAACTCGTAGCGATTCTCCTGCCTCAGCCTCCCAAGTACTGGAATTATAGATGTGTGCCACCATGCCCTGATTTGCAGGGCTTTCAGAATCAGTGCTGATGAGTCTTTTGGAGCGGGGAGGTCTCAGGACCACAGCCATAACCTCACATCACCCAGAGAAGCCTCACCAAGGCTTTGGCCATAGGAGCCACATACCCCAACAGGAAGCTATTTCTTCTCCCTGTTTGTCTGTTTTTGAGACTGGGTCTTACTGTGTATTCCACTTTGGCCTTGAACTAAGTAGCACAGGCTGACCTGCACTTGTAATTCTCTTACCTCGGCCTCCCAAGTGCTAGGTCTATAGGTGTGGGCCACCAGGCCCAGGACTTTTTTTTTTTTGCTGTTTTTGTTTTTGTTTGTTTGTTTGTTTGTTTTGAGACAGGCTCTCACTATGTAGTTCAGACTAGCCTTGAACTCACTATGTAGTCCAGGCTGACCTCAAACTCCTGGCAATCTTGTCTCAGCCTCCCAAGTGCTGGATTTCAGGCGTGCACCATCACACTCAGCAGTGCGTTCTCTTTAATGTTACTTGAAATAAATATAAATCAAAATATTAAAAAGCCTTGTTATCCTCCTGTCTTCAGACTTTTGAAAACTTCTCAATACATTGCATAGAAAGGCCTGGTAGATGTAACTGACAAAACTATGAGCTAACTGCATGTCTCCACATGGCCAACAGTATTTACGGGTAACAAGGAATGGCAGCCTTGAGATTCAGACAGCTCTCGGTTTCAAGCATTTCAGAGAAGGACTCTTTCTTTTCAGTGCTGTGCTTCTGTGTTAGGCATGTGCTCTACCACAGAGCTGCATCCCGAGCCCTACCTTGCTATTCAAGTGGGCAGAGAAACACACTGCCCTCTGCAGAGCCCCTGGGCTTTTGCACATGCTATTCTGTTTGCCCTGAAGTTCCTTTCTCTGTTCTCCATCAAGTTAATATGAAAGGTCTCCTCTTTTGTACTTTCCATATTCAGGATCCCTTTGGAACCCTCAGAGCTCCCCGTGCCAAGCTAATTGCACTGCTTGGCCAGTTGTGTCTGGATTTTTCTTGCAGGAGTATCTGCTCTGAGCTTCCCCAAGTAAAGAACTAAGTTTTCTCTTCATTCTCAGAGCCAAGCCACACAATAAGCATAAAGAAGGACATGGTCGGGGCTGGCGGTTTAGCTCAGCGGCATAAGTGCCTGCCTTGGAAGCAGGCAGTCGTGAGTTTGATCCCCAGTATCGATAAAAAGGAAAAAGACAAAAAAAAAAAAAAAAAAAAAACAAAGAAGGACATGGTCCAGATGCACAGGTACCCTTCTTCCTCTTCGGACACTGCTGTTCCTGAGGTTTTATTATGCTGAGCACTGACCATGTGCTATCTTATTTAATCCTCTTAATGGGCCTGTGCTGTACTTTCAAGGCCAGCCTGAAATTTGTAACAAGACACTGCCAGAAAAAATTAAAGATTCAGTAAGACAATAAAATTTCTCTCTTCCTCGGATATGGAAAGAACCTCCTTCTGGAAGACACAGTTTTTCTTCATCTGATATCCAACTTCCACCTTACCTCCTGTAATCTATTCATACAGCAGTCAGAGTGATCTATTTTTTTCCTTTTCCCTTTTCTTTTTTTTTTAAACTGGGATTGAATCCAGAGCCTCACACATGCTAAGCACATGCTCTACCTCGGAGCTATGCCCCTAGCCCTAGAGTGACTTTTAGAACTCCTGTCATTTCTCAACTCAGAACACTTCAATGCCTCCCTATTACAGTCAGCATAAAATCCATAATCCTCACAATGTTCCACAAGGCCCTACACAACCCCTCAGCTCACAAACTTTATGAACCCATTCCATGCTATTCTCTGGTAAACAGTCTTTGTAACTATCCTGTAAATATAGCTTCTCACACCTGTTCTCCAGGGCCTTTGCATTGGCTGTCTCCTGTACCTACAAAGTGGTACTCATGATCTGGGTACAGTGGTGCTTGTTTGTAACCCCGATATTTGGGAGGCTGAGGCAGGAGGATCTCAAATTCATAATGAGACTATGTGGTGAAACACAGTCTCAAAAAAAAAAAAACTAACAGAAACTATTCATAATATCCCAAAGTTTTATTCCATTGTTTAACTTTTTGTTCAAATGTCATTTCATCAGGAAGGTATCTCTGGTGGTTTTAAACTATGTTTTTTGTTTGATATTTGTTCTTTCAAGAGCTAGAGCTAATTCCCTTTCCCTTAATTATTGTCTAGGCTAACTGAGTCCTTTCTAAGTAATAGATTATGGTGAGAGTAATATGTAACTTCTAATGCACAGTCATCAAAATCATTATAATTACCCAGGCAATGGTGGCACATGCCTGTAATCTTAGTACCAGAGAGGCTGAGACAGGAGGATCACTGAGAGTTTGAGGTCAGCTTGAACTGTGTTATAATCTCAAGGCCAGCTGGACTTTGTAACAAGATATTGTCAGAAAAAAACATTACTCCAGTCTTGACATGAGAAAGATCATACAAATCCAGACTGAAGTAGATTCTAGCAAATACCTGATCAGTACTCTTCAAAGTTTACAAGATCATGAAAAACAAAGCAGAGTGAGAAACTGTCACAAATTGAAGGAGACTAAGGAAACATGATGACTATGTAGTCCAGGCTGGTCTTAGATTCACTGTGTACTCTAAGCAGGCCTCCAGCTCACAGGGACCCTCCTGCCTCAGCCCCGGGAACACTGTAATTACAGATGTGCATCATCACACTCAGTCCCAGTTCTCCTTTCTGAAGCTAATTTTCCTCTTTGCACTTTCTGCCTGACATGAGTGTGTTTACTTCTGTCTCCACACCGGAATGTGAGCTACAGGAAAGCAGAGACTATCTGTGTCCCCAGCACTTGAAAGTATGCCTAATACACAGTGAATAGCGAACAAAGAAGAGTTGTAGTTCTTATTATTAGGTAAAAGTTTCTTCCCTGTCCTCACCTTGGGCAGAGGGGACTCAGTCCCCACGGAAGAGGATGGAGAATGAGGCCAATGTGGTCGAGGCAGCGTGGCCCTGGGAAATGGGAGCAGAGATGGGTTTGAAACCCCGAGTTCTAGGACTAAGTTCCTCATCCACTGAGAGATCTGAGACAAAGCTCTTTCTCTCTCTGGGCCTCTGTTTGTCTGACTTTAAATTCAAAGACTGGGATGACCTATGAGATCATTCAGATTTTCGTCAGCTCTAATATTTAGTGATTCTAAGGATGAGCTGGGAGGAGGAGTAATGAGAGCTTGGTTCTGGAGATGGGGAACGAAAGGGAGTGAAGCACGTATTCTATCTTCACAGGGACTTCAACGCCTGTCTCCATCACACTGTGCATGTCGCCTGGAGCCTTTGTCCTCTCTGATAATCTATACCTTTGCCAAGGCCCAGCCCCTGCTTGTCTGAGGGCTTCCCAGGCTCCCTGGCCTGGGTTAGCTCCACCCTGCTCCAGGTTTCCATAGTACTTTGCATATGTCTGTGTAAGGCACCTTCCATATAACTGGGCCCTTGAATTATAATAAGTGAATCCCTGTGCAATACTCCAGGGTCTTGCGACTTCTCCCAGGGAACCTGGACCCTAATGGAAGGAATCTTAGAGGAAGGGAGAAAGCAAGGGAAGGAGTAGCACTTCAGTGCTATGCTGGGGTCCATTAAGACCATCACCTTTTCTTCTGCTTCAATCCTAGCCTCACTGCCAACAGAAGCACTCCCATCAGGGTGCCTGTCCCTCTGTCTTGTCTAAGCACTCTGCCAAATGTCATTTATTTGAACTATATTAATTTTCTTCTCCTCTTTCTCCTGACTATATCATGTTCCTCTTGTAATACGCACACTAGGAGCCCTTTCACAACACTGCCCTAGGTCTCCGGAGACTTCCTGATATTTGGTATACAGACTGGCTTGAGAGGCCACTTTCTCTCCAGAAGAACAGCTTGTGCCACGACTTGAGGAACGTAGAGTGTTCTGGGAGTCACGAGTGGTAGTGTCGTGTTTCGTCTGCAAGTGGGGTTGGGAGCAGGGAGAGGCGAAACAGGACAGCTAGGCGGTAACCAGGCATGGTTGATGTCTTTGGTGTTACTGTAACCAAATACCTGAAATGGGTAATTTATAAAAAACAGAGATGTGCTGCAAAAAATTCTGCTTTATTTCGGTTTGTTTTGTTTTGTTTTGAACACTCTGTAGTTCAGGATAACCCTGAACTCGTGTTGATCCTCCTGCCTCAGTCTTCCAAGTGCTGGAAATGCAGGCATGCGCTACCACACCTAGCTTTAGTAATTTTTTTTAAACTTACACAAGTCACTGAAGAATTCCCAAAGCTTTGTAACTTTCTCCTTTTATGCTCAGTATCTTCTCTTCCCATCTCTTTATTCCATTTGACTCATACCAAAATCCTAGAAATACCAAAGATTTATTCAGACTCTTTAGTATATAAGTTTTCTATTCACATTACTTTGTTTCAAGATTTTGGTACCAACACATGAGAAAAATATTTCCTGTAAGTTGTTTATCTTGCCCTAAGTCACAAATTCAGAAAGACATAGAGCTCAGTTTCTTAACAGCATTATTTCACCATACACAGTCCTGGGAATTAAACCCAGGAGCACTGTACTGCTGGGTTACAGCCCAGCCTTTTTATTTTTATTTTGAGACAGGGTATAACTGAGGCCACAGATTTGTGATCTTCCTGCCTCAGTTTCCTAAGTAACAGTGGTTACAAATATGCATCATCGTGCACAGCCTTTCTATCATTTACTAAATATTTTCTTTGGGGAAAAAATTAACAATCTCAATATGATGATACCTTTGAAGCCTAGAAACAGCAGTGAGAATGAGTGTAGGGCCTGAACATTTCTACCACAGATAGGGACTCTCAGATTCTGCTGGACCCTGTATCTGCCGGGCTCACTCACCTCTGTGCTCAGCAGCCAGTTTTTTTCCCATTCTCTGGGTATCCCCCCCTCTTAGTTCTGCTTATCCCATTCCTATGCCTTCCTTCAAGTCCTTGAATACTATTTACCCTTGAATCCTTGATTTTGAGTGATGCATTTGTCCTGAAATTCCTCTGACCCCTAGATAATATAGGCAACTGTTGTGGATAGCCACGCATTCCCTTGCCTTCCACAGCTCTAACAAAAGGAGTTGATTGGGTGTGGTGGTCCATGCCTGTGATCCCAGCACTTGGGAGATTGAGGCAGGAGGTTCGCTGCAAGTTCAAGACCACATAATAAGTTCAGGACCAGGCTCAGTTATATCCCGTCTCAAAAAATACAAGCTAAACCTAACCTAACCTCCCAAAACAAAATGAGTCTGGCCCCAAGTTGAGCTTCCAAAGCTCGTCAGCTAAGGTTAGCTCCTCCTTACTGATATAGGGGAAAGAAACACCCAGCCTACTATATGTCTGGTATCAAAGAATGAATTTTAGAGAAACAACAGAGAAGAGCAGAATATATTTATTGAGAGAAAGAAAGCTTCTGTCTGAGAGAGAGACAGAAGGGGTCCCTTGTGGGTTGCTGAGAACTCTGCCTTTTCTAGGGATTTTAACCACAAGGAGAGGCAGGGACAAGGCTGGAAAAAATGGGAAATTACAGGGAGGGCATGCAGTGGAACAAAACTATGGTCAGCCAATAAGATTACTAGTTTAATTGCTTAGGTAAAATTGATTAAATTGGACAAATGGGGAAGTGAGCCATGTAACAAGTGGGCATGAATACAGAATAGGGCCTTTTCCTGTAGGGAGTTAGTGGCTCCTGCTGGCTTCTTCAAGGCGGTTGATACCTATTTAGAATATCAATCCCGCCAGGGATTTAGCTCAGCGGCATAATCGCCTGCCTGGCAAGCACAAGGCTGTGAGTCTGATCACCAGTGCCGAAAAAAGAAAAAGTACGTAGAATATCCATCTCTAATGTTTATCCTTAGGAAGTATGTGGGTGCATTTGTTTATCTTTTGTTTGGAGGTCTGGCCTATAGCAGAGGTGTCTGTTCCCCACAGCTGTAAGGTATCTGGTCTTCTGTACTGGCTCCTTCGAGGGCCTAACTCTATCTGACTGCCTATAATATTCTGTCTAATTCAGCTGCCTAAAACACTATCTCATCTCCAACTACCTACCCCTGTGCTCTTCTACAGGCTAAAAATACATAACCAAATGCATTTCCCAGAACATGCCAAGCTCTTGAAGCCTTTACATGTACATTTTCTCTCCCTGGAAGGTCACCGTCACATTACTCCACATTTTTTTGAAACAGAGAATTCATAATTGTTCTCAATCTCAACTCCAGCATGACCTCTAATCCCACTGCCACATCATCACTCAAACAATCATGTCTTGCATGACTGCTCCCTAACTGGTCTCCGGGATGTTACTCTAAACTTACCCTTTCCATTTTCCATAAAGTATCTGCAGTAATCTTTTTAAAATGCAAACTTGATTGCATCACACTTTCTTTCTTAAAAGTCTATTTTTTTTTTTAAATTTTGAGACAGAGTTTCACTATACAGTCAGGCTGGCCTTGAACTCACTTGGTGGCCCAGACTGGCCTCTAACTCAAAGCAATCATCCTGCCTCAGCCTCCCAAGTGCTAGACTTACAGGCATGCACAACCATGCCCAGCTCCCTTGTGAACATTCTTAACTGGCCTCCCATTATGGCCTCCCATTAAAGTCATCACTCCTCCCAATTCTAGGTTCCTTCACTCTATTCCCTCTCCCTTCTCTTGCTTCTTGCCTTCTAGATCCATCCACTACACTACTGCTATTCCAGATACAATTCCTGTCACATTTGCTCATTTGCTTGAAGCTTGTCTACCTGATATTCCTTCATCTGAAACCCTTCCTCTTCTTTTCCTGACTACCTTCTACTGACCCTTCAGGCTGGTATTAGCCTACACTTCCTTCACCAGAGAATATTCTAACCTCTAGCATAAGTGTGGTACCTTTGCTTTCTGTTTGCATTGTCCAGCATTTACCCCAGGACAGCACCAATTCGTCTGTTTGTATATTTGTGTCTCTCCTCCCTTAAGGCAAGGAAACTGCTTTATTTCTGGCACTAGCCCAGAGCCTGTAGATTCCCATAAATAACTGCTGAATGGTGAGCGAATGGCTTTGTCTTCACAATTCATGCTCAGGCACCACTGCAGCTTCCATCACCACCAACCTGAGTTTCCACTCTACATTACAGTGGACTAATGGAGAGTTCTCGCCAAGGTCTGGGATCACAACATTAAAGTGTGTACCCATGCCAGACACAGTGTCATACACCTGTAATACCAGTACTTGGGATTGCCACCCCTAGACTAGATAATGAGTTTACAAGTGGCCTGAACCACATGATGAGACCCTGCCTCAAAAAGAAAAGAAAATTTGTACTCCTGGCAGTTAACCCAGAGCTCAGCACCCATTTTTCGATCTACTCAGTTTTTAATAATTATTCATTGAATGTCTACTGTGTACTAGATTCTGCAGATACAACAGTGAACAAGGTACAAGACCTGGCCTTGAATTCACATTTCATTGAAATAATAGCTACTCAGCAAACAGGGAGTTTACTACATCTCTGTCCTACTGGGCTAAGACTACAAAGGAGTCTTTCCTAATGGGAGCTAAAAAAAAAAAAAAAACAAGGACCACCTGCCCTGGATGAGGAAGATACAATGTTTTGGTGAGCTTGGAACACCCTTTGTCCAGGTCCCCTTGGGATCCCTCAGGAAACAGCCAGGAGGGAGGAAATTGGGAAGAGATAGTTGAGTGGGTAGTGTCTGAGTCTCAAGGGACCAGCAATGGTGTTGCAGCTCAGTGCTCATAGCCACTTTGCTCAGGCTGTTTGATAAATAGCTTTCTTTTTTATGCTAGACCAGTGGAAAGAAATGGACCCACAGAGGGAAAGAAGGAGGGAGAGAAAAATGGAATGAAATAGAAGAGGAAGGAGGGGCTGGGGGTTTAGCTCAGGCATAAGCGCCTGTCTTGCAAGCAGGCAGTCGTGAGTTCGATCCCTAGTACCTATAAAAACTTAAAAAAAAAAAAAAAAAAGAAATAGAAGAGGAAGGGCAGGGAGGAAAGAATCAGAAACCTAAGAAATGGAAGGAGATAAGTTACAGACATAAGGCCTGCCCTGCCCTGCTGGCTGAGTCCTGTGTACATCACAGCTGAGTGGCTCTAAGGTATGGCTCTTCATTGTGTCATCGGAGAAGAAAAGGGGACTCAGTTTTGAATCCTTAGAATTCCCTAGATGCTTTCTAGGGCCCACTGATCTCTCCTCTTCACTGGTCCCATCTGGCCATCCTAGAAGGCCTCTATCAGAAACCTGCTGGTCCCTAACCCAGGACATACTCCATGCAGACTCCTCCCAGCCTGTGAAGGAAAAACAGTCTCAGTGGGAACAGCAGCCACTAAATCCATCTTTCTCAGAAAAGACTCTCTGTTCACCATATGTTTCCCGATGAGGGTCTATGCTCTTTGAGACACTGGCCTGACACTATCTTAATTTGCAGGCACAGAGCAGAAACTTCCTTTAGCTGAGAGCTGAGGAGACGCAGGCACCGCCCCAGGAGCCCCCAGATGCCAAGCCAGCAGCATGAGTTCTTCACAGTGCCACAGCTCTTGCCAGCAGCCTCAGCTGCTCGCTCCTGAGGCTGTGATGCCATCTGCTGCCCAGCTAAGGAAACTGGCCCTGCTCTGGCTGCAGGGCGAGGCCCAGGCTAGCTAGGGTTGGGCAGGACATCTATGCCATGTCTTTGTTCTGGACAAACTAATATTGCCTCTCAGGGTGCTCCCTCTCATCAGTTATCTTTCTTGATTAAGAAGCTTCCCCGTCTTCCACAAGAAGGAACGTAGGGAACCTGGAGAGATGGATGATCTGCTTTCTTTTGTAAAACTCTGGTATCATCTCAAGGTTAAATTACCCAGAGGAGTAGCAACCTGCCTTTAAAATTCTACAGTTTTCTTCAAAGTGATTTTTTTTCTTTGCAGGTTTAACTAAGATTATTGTAAGCTGAGTTAATTGGATGAATGAAATAATGAGGCCAGCCTAGAGGAAGCAGGGCTTTGAAGAAAGAAGTGTGCTCATTTGAAACTGACACAAGGACTTACCGGCTCAGCTGCTCTGTGAAGCTCCCCTTGTCTGTGTCTGTTCCGGCCTTTTCCCAGATACATTAAGAGCCACATATTTGTTGAAGAGATGGTGAGTTTGAGGAACTTTCTGCAAAATCTGGCCTTTAAGATGATCCCCAATGATCCGTATCTCCTCCTTTTCCCACATAGTAACAGGGTTTGTCTATGTGGCCAATAGAATACAACAGAAATAATTGTATGTAACTGCCAATATTCGGTTATAGAAGACACTGTGGCTTCCTTCCTGGTCACTTTCTCTCTTTTTATATGATCATTTACTTGCTCTGGGGGAAGGCTGTTGCTATGGTGTGATCAGCCCCATGGAGAAGCTCATGTCAACAGCCACTTACTGGTCTGGGAAGCTGATCCTCTGGCCTGGGTCAAGGTTTCAGATGGCTAACTGCAGCCCTTACGGGCAGCTTGACTGCAACCTAGTGAGTGATACTGAGCCAGCTCAACTGACTTTCTGCCCCTCAGAAACTGATATAAGCTCTTAAATTTGTCTCCTATTTTAAGGTCTTAAATTTGAGGACAATTTGTTTTGCAGCAACATAATAGCCCTGCCATATGTTTTATTATTATATCATGGCATATCATCTGCATTATATCACCGCATTTCCTTATAAATCTGGCATCTGGACTCCTCCCCTCAACCCCTCTACTTTACCTTGCCTCAGCTGCTTCGCCCTTGGCTGAGACCCTCCTCAGGCTCTTTGAATTTGCATTGCGCTCTGATGGAACCCCCTCTCATCCACACACCTATTGCCAAAATCTCTTTTCAATGCAGCTTTTCTTGACACCCACACATATACCTTAAATTGCAGCTCCCATCATCTTCCTATCTTTCCCCTACTTTATTTTTATTCTTAGCTTTACAATTATGTGATACATCATAAATGTATTTTACACAGTTATCTTGTGATTTCTGTCCTCTCCATTAAAATGTAAGCTCCAGCTATCTTCAGCACCTGGAAACGTGACATGCAAATATCACATGTGTAATACATACTTAAATGAAAAAATAAATGAATGTCACCGTGTTACCCGATGGAGGGTCCCGTGGAAATTCTTTCCATGTTCTTGGTGTCCTGAACAAAGAACTGGCCAGACACAGAGAAAAGGCAGCAAGGCCTGCACACTTATGAAAGGTGGACAAAAAGGGGTGAGAGTGGGCTAGTAAACGGACTCACAGAATAAGAGAAAGGGACCTTTTGTATCTGAAATTCCTGGATTGGCTTCTCGCTCATCCAAATAAGACATTGGGACAATTGTCCTATCAATAACTCACTTGGCCTGGCACCAGATTTAAACTACGCTATTGAAAGACTTGCTTGACTTCCAGCCAGATGTAAATGAAGAAATGAAAATAGCACCACTTTTCTGGTTGTTCCCCAAATAGTGCCAGATTCAAAGGAGGGATTAAGAATATTGTTTTCTGATAGTTCTGTATACAGTGCTCAGGAGCTAGGGGTCACTTTGGGCCCTGTCATTTTGGGCTGCACGTGTTTTCTGAATATTTAAGATCTTTGACTCATTTCACCTCATTGTTTGACTGGTTTGCCTCAGTCCTGACCTCCTTCCTCAACAATCCACTAATTATAGTATATGTTCTAGTTGCCATATCAAATATCACATAAAGGTTATATTTAACTGCATATAGGGAAAAGGTAGCAAGATGTGTACAACTAGCACTATAAACAAGAAGACATAAAAAAAAAAAAAGAAGACGAAACTTTGTTGCTCGTTGGCTAGCTACTTAACTATGAAAAAGGCAGGTAAGCTCTCTGAGCTCCAGTTTACTCATCTGTAAAGTAGGACTCACAAACTTTTCTGTCCTATCATAAGGTAGTCACAGGGATCAAATGAGATAATAAAGGTTACAGCAATTAAGAAAGTTCTAATAGATGATGTAAGTGTTTTTGAAATATGTTCCAAAACTAGTGGTGCCAAAACTAAGGTACATAAAGAGAGGGGAGGGGGAAAAAAAGTTCAAAGAGGTCTGGGAAATGCAGGCTCCCGTGTTCTAACTCTTGTGGCTGTTCACAATTCATCCTAACATATGAAAGGCTCTGAAAATCCTGCACTTAACAGTCTTCCCACACACAGCTGACTTTACCTCGGGAAACCTTGCTGTATACAAGTACAAAGCATTGCCTTTGTGATCCATATAGTAGTGTTAGTAGTTTAGATCAGGGAGAAATGCTGCAGTTCTTGAAATGAAAATCCTGCAGGGGTGAGTGATGCACTACAATAGCTGAAATGGAAATTGAGGCTGGAGGAGGAGAAAACAGAAGAGAAGGAGGCACAAGAAAGGAAAGGAAAATGAGAAGGAGAAAAGGGAGACTGGAACAAGAAAGAAAAATGGCGGTGAAGGGAGAGGACAGCTGAAATAATCCCTTTCGCAAATAACTTGAACGAAAGCAATTTCCTACGGATGGCGGATGGCGCTGGAGTGGAAGAGACAATTCTGAATCCTAGTCCTCCGGGCTGGCTGAGCTCTGCTGTTTCCTTTGAACGTTGCTTCTGCCAGTTTCCGCAGTTTGAAGCTTAGGCTTCCTTTTCTGCTTCAAGGAACTGCTGATTGAAAAGATTTCTCCTCCATCAAAGAGGAGGAATCAGGTAAACCAAATCAGCAGCGTCTTAATTTAGTGTACTTATTAAGTGTCTGCAGTGGTAGCTGCCATTTTTTCTTCTCTGTATGGCAGCATTCAGCTCCCCAGAGTGTGGCTGACTTAGAAAAGCAAGAGGAGCTCCACAGTCCTTCAACCTTCCAGGAGATGCTCCTAGGAAAGTACATTCTGCCCCTCTCACAGGCTTCCACTGGCATTCTAGCCTTCAAAGTGAGAAGGCCTTTTATTACACTTCATCTTAGTCTTTTCCCTATAATTTTTAATTGCCTTCTATTTCCCAGAAGAATGGGTCTGTCATAAGCTGCATATACCACATTCACATCATGTCTCTAGGCATTGATTAATAAACAAACACAGTGTGATTTTTTTTCCTAGTCTGGGAATCAAATTCACTAGCACAAGCCTTACTTTGAGCTATACCCTAGCCCCAGACACCATTTGGGAAGTTTCATCTCTTGTTGGGAGAACAGACTTTTTTGTTGTTTGTTGTTTTTTGAGACAGGGTCTTGCTATGTCGTTCAGGGTGGTCTGCAGCCCAGGTTAGCCTCAAACTCACAGCAATGCTCCTGTGTCAGCTTCCTCAATGCATGTACCACTGTTCTCAGCAGAACAGACTTTTAAAAAACCTGTTTATTCTAGCCAAGCATGGCGGTACATGCCAATAATCTCAGCACTGTGGAGGCTGAAGCAGGAGGATTGTTGTGAATTTGAGGCCAGCCCGGGCTACAAACTGAGTTCAAGTCCAGCCTGAACTGCCCAGCGAAACCTTGTCTCAGAAAGATCAAAAAAAAAAAAAAAAAAACAAATTTATTCTAGGCCAGCCATGGGAGTACATGCCCATAATCTCAGTACTTTGGAGGCTGAAGTAGGAGGATCACCATGAGTTTGAGGCCAGTCTGGGCTATATGATGATTGCCTGTCTCAAAAAAACAAAATGAAATTATTCTAAAACCAATCTAATTTAGCAGTAGGGTTATTTGTTTACTTATTTTTGTGGTGTTAGGAATCCAACCAGGGCTTTATACATGCTAGACAAGTGCTTTACCACTGAACTATATCCCCAGCTATTTATTTGTTTTTAATTATGGATTTCAAGAGTGGAATAGGAAAGCAATGGAAAAGAAGTAAGATATATTGGATACTGGTCTGGCTCACTGTATATATACCACATTTAATCTTCACAACAACATGAAAATATGGATCACCCATGATAAAAAAAAAGCATGGTAAAATATGGGTAATATTATTTTTTAGAGCAGAATATATTTAATTGAGAGAAAGAATTTTTCTGTCTGAGAAAGACAGAAGGGGTTCCAAGTGGGTTGTCTGATCATATTGTTTTAAAATTTAATTTCTCTTCTTTTTCTTCTTCAAAGACAGGGTCTCCTACTGAATTCAGGCTGACCCTGAATTCACTATGTAGTCCAGGCTGGCCTCTGACTCACAGTGATTCTCCTGCCTCAGCCTCCTACAATTACAGGCTACAATTACAGATATGTACTACCATACCCAGCATTAATTTTTAAAAAGTTTTTTGTTGTTGTTTTTTTTTTTTTTTTTTTGTCTTTTTGAGACAGGGTCTCACTGTGCAGTTCATGCTAGCCTTGAACTCACTTTGTAGCCCAGGCTGGTCTTGAATTTGCAATGATCCTCCTGCCTCAGCTTTACAAATGCTGTGATTACAGGCATGTGCCACCATACCAGCTTTTAAAGGTTTTAAAAGACAAAATCTTGCTACGTTGCCTACTCTGGCCCAAACTTCTGGAGTCAAGGGATCCTCCTGCCTCAGCCTCCTCAACAGCAGGGACTACAGTCACATACTACTGCACCTGGCTACTATTCTTGTTTTATAGCTAAGGGACGTGGCTCAGTGGTAGAGCTGTTGTCTCACACACACAAGGCCCTGGGTTCAGTCTCTAGCACTATCAGAAAAAAATACATAGATGAGGGGGCTTTTACTTACTTAAAAGTCAAACAGGTAATATGTAGGTGATGAGGTCAGAATCAGATCTACATGTGACTCCCAGATCCAAGTTCTCTCTACCCGGGGAGTATATCGAAATCTAGGCCTTTGGTGTCCTTATCACCTTGTGAGAGATTGAATTTATTCCTAAATAAACAAGCTGGGATTCTGTCTATTGTCACATCCCCTTAAATAAACAAGCTGGGATTCTGTCTATTGTCACATCCCCTTTACACGATGGTAAATTTAGTATAAGAAAAGTGAAAGTAACCACTTTCCCCCTGTTCCTGTGACAAATCTGAATTTGCTCTGCTTGAGGTCCATCTGCCCCATCAGACTGTAATCTTAGCCTGGTTAGGACTCTGTCTATCTTATTCCCATTGTATTCTTCCTAGTGCCCAGAGTACGGCCTGCTGCTTTCCAGATATTCAGTACATTTGGAATGAATGACAAAGGTAAAATCAAACTCTAAAAGCAAGATAAGAGGACACAGGACGAAGACTTTAAAAGTCAATGTTTAGCTTAGAGAAGAAGCAAGGAAGAAGAGAGGTTAGCCAGGAAGAGAATGAG